TTGTTACTACTAGTAAGGCACTTGTTACTACTAGCGATGCACTTGTTCCTACTAGCTTCTTGTTTCCCGGCAAGCCCTTTCCAGATTGATTTATGGATGGGCTTTACTCCGATGCACTTGGCAGCGCTCAACAGCTGGCATTCTGAACAGCCTTTGCTCGAGCTCTTGAAACTGAAAGGAAACGTCACTTGGACGTGTCAATTTGTTTCTAGGTGTTCGAAATCACTTCGCAAAAGCAAAGAAGCAGGACAGCAACAGTGTTGAGTAGAGAGGACATGGTTCTCTCTATATGGTCTATAGTTTTCTCAGTATCCTCGATCGGCCAACCTAATTAGCTACTTTACCAAAAGAACACCTCGTTTGGTGCATGCGGGTTGTCAATTTTGTGTCAAGTTGCATGGATTGAAATGAACATTTCTGTCCCCTCGGGCTGGCTTGTTTCTTGGACCGAATTGCGACATAGATTTCTAATTGAGTCGGCGATTGGATTGTTTTCCTTGGCACAAGGGATCTTTCATTTTCAGGTGCAGATTGCTGATGCACAGTGATTTCTTTATTGCTCCTGCAGAGAGTACCAGGTTAAACGCAAATTTTGACATTTGTGGACAAAGGTTAATGCAAATTGTGCCATTGGTACTTCTGCCCTTGGCACCTGCCGCAATGCAAGCGCTGTGCAACTTACATGCAAAGAGTGGACTGCCCTCAAGTAAATGCTTGTCCTTGCCTTTTGGTGTCCTTTGTGCTTGCTGTTGTGTTCTACGCGACGGGCCTTAATATTCCGGTCAGGTCAGGTCATTAGCCTTTTGTTTGAAAAAACATGGTCAGGTGACCAGTGCGACGTTTTTGCTACGTTGATTTTTCCTTCCCGCTTCGTTCATTTTCAGTCATGCTACATCCGTGCCTCATTGTGTTTCCGTGCCGATTGCTGCGGGTCGCATCGATTGGTGCGGACGACAGTATCTAGTGTAGGATTCTTATGGGCTTGCACGTAAGAATACCACTCTCTCTAATTCACCCTGGCTGTCGACCCTGTTGTTGACTTGGTGAGCTTGTAGGGTCAAGTGTCAAGAAGCCCTGAGTGTTTTGTGCCTGGCTTGGCATTTTCGCTTTATTTCCCTTGGGTTCAGAAATTCTTTTTTGGTTTGCTGACCTGGGATGCCGCTACCGCGGCCTTCGCGCCCGGTGCGTGCAGCTTCTCGTGACGTGAGCAGCTTGCGGCCGGGACTGCCTTGCCCCAAGCGGCAGCGGGGGTTCTCCCGCAGTCCTGCGTTCGCTCCGTCAGAGATTGCTGC